GAAGAACTGGGAATCAGACCCTCTGTCTTCTCATCCCACAGACAGGAGCGTGTGGGCTGTTCGCATCCATCCCCGTGTGTGTCCTGATCTCTGACGGGCCCCGCTCGCCCTGCTCCTCTGGCCTCGCCAGGCTGCTTAGAAACCGCTTCCCCTTTTTGTGCCAGGCCCGCTGCGCTCTGTGTCACTGTGTATCTAGCGCAGTAATAGGTGCTGGCGGTGGCTCGCCTAGTTCTTGGCGGTGTCCCCAGAGATAGTGACTCTGCCTTGGACAGACAGGACGTCGGTGCTTTCCCCGAAAGCTGGATACAAAGCCCCCACCCACTCCAACCCTTTCTCGGGGAGCTGCCGGATCCAGTTCCATAGGTAGCTGCTGCTAGTGACGGACACACCCGAGACAGCGCAGCTCAGGGTGAGGGTCTCTCCGGGCTTCACTGTCCCCGGACCCGACTGGACCAGCTGCACCTGGGAGCGGACACCTGGGAAAAGGGAAACAAGGGAGGAAAGAATTAGCCACCGAATCAACCCACGGTTCTGTCCCTGATTTTTCCCACTCCCCCGTCGGATACACACTCACAGCTGGGGGTGGCGAGCAGGCAAAGGAAAAGCAGCAGAGGTTCCATTCTCGTTCTCAGGCACTGAGGGAAAATCCCCAGCGGGCAGGAGGGGCGGGTCTGTGTCTGGGCAGAGACTGAGGCTCCTAGACCTGGGGGTTTGTATTTAAGCAGCAAGGTCTCGTCAGGGATTTGCATGCGGGTTGCACCCAGCGGATATAAGGTGACTAAGAGACGTCTAAGGGGGGGAGCGCTGTCTGGCGGAGCCACCTGCAACTCGTCATCACTTACGGGCTTGGATGGGGTGGTCACAGGACTGTAGGAAAAGCCTTTCCTCTGAGTGTCATGGGCCTTGGGACACAGGGTTTAGCGGGATCTGGTGCCCTCCAGCTGCGGCTCCTGAGAATAGAGATGGCACAGATTAAACCAGAGCACAGACACAGCCGGTGGAAATGAACTGCCATGGGAACGATTAAAGGGGAAGGTGATGCCTTTCTGTAACACTAATTAATTAATATCTTGCCCCGCGGACAGAGCCAATAGGGAAAGTGGTGGAGGGGCTCTGGGCCTTGGGCAGGGGATACAGATAAACAGCTGCCGTGAGGCAGGAGGGAACGGAGACCGGAAGGGACGATGCAGCTTTGGGGTTCGTGCCATGAAGAGCTTTGACTGCGCTCGGGGGATCCCGGAGTTAACAGGCTGGGGGAGCAGCAGCTTGTGGGGTTTGTGTCAGTGGCAAGTTAATCACCTCATGGCTATTTAGCCCCGACGGCAAATCTGGAACCACCTGACCCGAACCCCTGCAGCGCAGGGATCGCTGGGCAACGCGCCAGCACGGAGTGTTCCCAGGTACCGCCTGACCAACCCCAGGAGGTGATAATTGCTCATGCCCACACAGATGAGTAGGCGGGGCTTGTGCTTGTCAGTGACGGGCCCTGATGAATGGGGAGGGCTCAGGTTACTGCGACCTTGTGTCACGGGCTCGCTCCTCTC